AGACTCAATCACGGTGTTAACTGCTACCGCATTGTTAGGTTCTATTACATAAAACCTATAAGCCTTGGAATTTTCAGCATACCCTATGAATATGCAATCAATTCCCCTTTCCCCCGAAGTTTTCCTTTTGGGCTCGGGCAATTTTACAACCGCCCTACAACCCCAAACCCGAAAATATTTCAAATTCGGCGGCTTTTTGTACCAAAGCTCATATGGGGTTATCTTGTTCCGTTTGTTTGGAACCCTAATTAGAACATAGCAGGTCGTGAGCATGGCCTCTCGCCAAAACCCTTCACTCAAACCCGTGTAGGAAAGCATGGAATTAACCATTTCCTTTAACACTCGATTTTTCCATTCGGCCACACCATTTTGTTGTGGTGTATACGGAGCCGTAGTCTCATAAATGATTCCAACAGATTGAAAATAATGGGGATCCATATATTCTCCTCCCCGATCAGTCCGAAAACATTTAATTGGATTACCCAATTGCAATTCAACCTCGGTTTTATACACTTTAAATTTCTCTAAAGTTTCATCCTTGGTGTGTAATAAATACACATAACAAAACCGAGTTGAATCATCAATAAAAGTAACAACATACTTTTTATTGCCAAGGGAAAGAGTTGAGTGAAAGTCACATAGATCACTATGTACAAGATCCAAAATAGCCGAATTCCTTTCTACATTAGGAAACGATTGTTTTGTGATCTTAGTAAGCATGCAAGTCCTCCATTTATCATCATTAATATCAAAAGTCGGAATTAAACCATATTTAGACATTTAATGCATTTTCCTAAAATTAACGTGAGCTAGTCTAGCATGCCAAATCATACAATCATTAATGGAAGATGCCACAAAAATAGAATTATCACTAGAAATTAATTTATTCACAACATTCAAAAGAAACATGCGATTTGATAACTATCCAAAACCAACAAACACACCACCCTTGGACAGAATATATTTATCGGATTCAATCGCTTGTTTGAACCCTAAATTATTCAACTTACTTCCCGAAACGAGATTCTTTCGAACCTTCGGTACAAAACATCAAATAACGTAATTGTTTTTCCAGAAGTAAATTCTAAAACAACTACACCCTTTCCCAAGATAGGTGTCATTGACTCGTCTCCCATGCGTAAGAAGGAACCGACCTCCACTGGTTTTAACTCTTCAAACCATCCTTTATCCTTACACACATGGCTCGTAGCCCCTGAGTCAATCCACCATGCACAGTCATCATCTGTACATAAAAGATTCTGGAATGAGTGATACATAATTCTGGACAGATTTATCAAAGTTAGTCAGGAACTGACCTTCTTTCCGTGGAACCAGGTCCTTAGACCGTTCCTGTCCACTGCCACTCGTTCCAACGCCATTCTTGTTCCGTTTCACACGGCAATCACGCTTGACATGTCCGACCTTTTGACACCTCCAACAAACCAAACCTTTCGGTTTCTTGTTGGGTTTGTCATGGTTTTCATACCTGCGCTTTTTGCCTTTCCCCTTATCTTTCGGGTTAGATTTATTATCCTCAACCAAGTGAACATGAGGCTGTCCAGATTCAACTTCAACCATAATTTGGTCATTCTCTTGCACACGAAGAGACTCCTCAATGCACAAGTGACTCCCAAGTTGAACCAATCACAATTCCTCATCTTGATGTTTTAAAGAATGTTTAAAATCCTTCCAAGAGGGTGGAAGTTTGTCAATTATACTCGACACGGTATAGGATTCATCAACACCAATCTTGTGGAGTTTAAATTGACCAAGAACACGAAGAAGTTCATTGTATTGTTCCATAACCGGCCTTAAGTCAACCATTTTATAATTATTAAAATCACTCACAAAGAATTTGTTACTAGAAGCATCCTCGGTAATGTATTTTGACTCAAGAGAATTCCACAATTCCTTCGCACTTTTAACGTTTTGGTAAATATCAAATACCGCATCGGACATACCGTTAAGAATGTGGCCTCTACATATGTAGTCATCGTTCTCCCACTTGTGACGCCTCCTAGTTTGTTCCAAGGTTTCGTCCTCCATCACTTCCGGCATCGGAGTGCTCAACACGTACACAACCTTCAAAGTGGTGAGAAGGAAGTGCATCTTCTTTTTCCATCTACGGAAATCGTTCCCTTGAAACTTGTTCAATTTGTTGAACTTGGACGTCATCTCTTCCACGATACTCATAATTATCACAAAGAAATATCAATTCGATTGTTGGGGTATCACGTAGGGGTGATAATCGAGTACTTGGATATCTTAAGGATCGTGTAAGTTCAATTTCCGAATTGATATTTCTCCCCTATGCCTGGGTTACAAGAAATTTAATCTAGGATAATTCTTAAGGACACTCTAGAACTTAGGCACAAGAACTAGAGCCAAACTAGTTTTGCTTTAATTTGAGTGCCAAAGTGATGAAGATTCGTTGAATATGTTTTCTCCTTTTTCACTGTACGAAATATGGTGGTATATATCCATATTAACCGTCCTAGGCAGTTGCAACACGTTTGAGAAACCGCAGCAGTTTTTGGAAAACTGCTGGAAACTGCCCAACACTTCTAGAACTCGGTCTAGAACCACAAAGCCGGTCTACTGAAAGTTATACCTCGGGTTCTACCTCGAGTTCCACTAACGTAGACACTTTGGAATTAAACTAGTTTTTATATACAAGTATGCACTCCACACCTACTAACTTGTATTAGATCATAGTTCTAATTCCCATTAGCACTCATGTCATTTCCAATTACACAAAACGACTGGTGACACTAAAATCACCAACAATCATTGCCTATTTTGGATCCACACACTTCATATGATGGGACCAAATTTGCATTTGGGAAAGACAGTGAGCTTAATGTACTGGACCTTCTCTACAACAATTTCCATCAATTAAAATCTGGTGCCCAGGGAAATGTATCTGTGCATGATCTGGCTGAATATGTAGCCCTAGAGGAGATGGACATGAGTGGGTTAGGGGGGCACGGGACATCAAATATTTAGTATTTACAAAGGTTGAATCATCTGATATACATGTTATCAAAATCCTGTCCAGAGGCACAAAAGAACCAGGCTTTCCCCTTTTCTGGGAAATCAGATGTAAAAGTTCAACTTGGAGGTTGTGTACGGAGGAAAGTTGTTAAGAAAAATGAAGATGCTGAAACAGCAATGCACAATCAGCAATCAACTTCGGGGATGCACTCTTTTACTGAATTTCAAGGAAATTTGACCCCAATGTTGAAAATGGACTTTCTGCTCCTTAATATCCAATCCATATCTCAAATGATCATCAATACTATACTCCATCTATTTCTGTCTCTTGTAATAAGCAAAATGAAAGGGCAAGGGAGTGTTAAGATTGGTTTCACACATGCCCTAGCAGAAGGGGAGGCACCTGAAGACTTCAAAAGTGAATGGAAGGTCAATAGATACACCTGCAGCTGCCGTAACAACTGTAATTTTGAAAGTTCATGCACTGAAGCTAACAGTAAAGAAAGCAGTGGTGTACTGGGAAGGAAGAGGTGCCAAGATGAAGCTATTGGGCAGAGCGGTTTCCTATCACCCACCTTGAGGACAAGGTGGTTGTTCAAGGGGGGAGATATGATAGGACTCAAGTAGAGTAGCACTTATTATAATAAATGATAGTAATAATAATATTAGAATAGTTAGTATAAAAAGAGGCTGTGGGTAGAATAGAAGCAGGCTGGGATTATCTTGGGCTTTGGATATTCGGAGCTGGCATTCTCCAACTGCCTTTGTATCTTTTTTTTTTTCTGTTATACGAAGCTTTATACTGTTACGCTCATCTCTTTTTTCTGTTATACGAAGCTTTATACTGTTACGCTCATCTCTTTTCTTCATTGCTATTCGCTAGCTTCTTGAATCACTGTGATTAGGTCTGTAACCTATCACGGTATGACCAGAATTTTAGTTTCAATTTTTTCGATAATAATTATAACATTATTATTACTTTATTTCATTCAGCTTCTTACTTTTTCAAATTACTTTTGTATTCTTTTGATCCCAAAATGTAAGCTATATTTTGGTCAAAGTTTTAATAAAATCTCAACCTCGTCCTCCTTTTGAGTTTCAACTTTCTCTTCTCACACATTCCTTTACCAATATGTTACATTATTTCAACATTCATTTGGATTTAGGTTTGGATTTTAACATTTTTGTAATTATTATTACCTTATTTCATCCAGCTTCTTGTTCAAATAACTTTTGTATTCTTTTGATCCCAAAATGTATGCTAAAATTGGGTCACAATTTTTAATAAAATAAAAGAAATGTTATCTTACAGTTCATATCATAATTTTGGACAAACAAAAAATTTCAGAATAGGACAAATGGAGTACTTTTGTATACATTGCTCAAGATCTAAATCAAGATTTAATTGCTCAAATAAAATTGTGCAAGATCAAATGAATTTCAATTTAAGGTTTTCAATTTGGTTTAGGATAGCGGTTGTTTCTTGATCATTTAAAATAGTGTTGGAACAATTAAAGTTATTTCAAAACTACACAAAGTAATTTTGAACCGTAAAGATTGAATTCAAATATGATAATAGATAATTGCACTCTCCTCGAAATAAACTGGCGGTTTTCTTTATTGGTTGTGCTAAAATAGTTGTCTTTCTTTGTAAGCGTAGAATTATGCGGTTCTGACCATGTCTTTCGTTTGGGACTAAGGCTTGGATGTTGTTGTTGTTGTTGATCATTGTAATTATTTCTACCAAATCTAAATCACCTAAAAATATTTTTATTTTGAGATAGGAAGCATATTACATCATATATATTAGAAGAAAATTAAGTTGACTGTAAAACAATGCATTGAAATCTTAAGTTGAGATAAAGTATGTTTATAGCTAAAGTATCATGAATAAGTTGGAATAGCATGAGCATTGGACCAGATTTATGCCCAGACTAGACCCCCGCATCAAAGATAGAGTGGATGATGAAATGCTCTCTTGTAATATTTGTTGCTATCTTTTTCAGAGGGAGTCCCCATTTCTTTCTAAAATGAACTAATAAAGTGCTTGGCGAGGTAAAAGCAGTGCGCACCCAAGCATCAGCGGACAGCACTTGGCCTTTTCTATTTGTTGACCAAAGTTGTTGACCTTTTCATGCCTCTACTTGGTTGTAAATGTTTCTACCCTTCTGTTCTGAGCTTTTACATACACCGATTAATAAAAAGTGGGGGCTTCTGATGCTTTTGACAGCTTTTATCATCTTAATTCTTTTTGTTTGCTTCAACTTTCAAGCAAAGTCCAGTTATTCACGGTTTTACTATTAGTTAGAGTACTAAAAAAAAAGGCTAAAGGGTCAAATAGGCCCTGAACTGGACTTAAAGAAAATGCTCAAAACATTTCATCAAAAAATTTCACAGAGAACCGCCCTAATTGGCGACGGCCGGGCAGAACCTCTTATATAAGGGCTAATTGAACATTTTAAGTCAGTTCAAGGGCCTAGGGCTGGACTCGTGCCGGTTCGGGCCCGGTTCGGGCCTGGGCCCGGCCGGGCCTCGGGCCAGGGAAGGGGAGGCCCGAGCCCGAACCGCCGGTGGCCGGTTCCGGTTCCGGGCCAAACCGGGCCGGGCCGAACCGGCCCAATTAATTTTTTTTTGTTCTCCTATTTAATCCCCTACCCCTCCCCCTCAACCCCAAACCATCCCAAATCACCTCAAATGGCCCAAAATACCTAATCCAACCAAAAACTTAAAAAAATTTAAAAAAAAAAAAAAATTAAAATCCGGCCCGGACCGGCACCGAACCGGCCGGGCCGGTTCACCAAAAACTGGGCCCGAGCCCGAACCGCCCAGCAGCCGGGCCGGGCCAAACCGAACCGGTGGACCCACCGGGCCCCGGGCCGGGCCGGGCCAAACAGTAACCGGGCCGGGCCGCCCGGCCCGAGTCCACCACTACAAGGGCCTATTTGACCTAGGCTTGGACTCGGGCCGTGCGGCCCGCCCCGGAACCGGCCCGGCCCGGTTACTGTTTGAACCGGCCCAGCCCGGGGCCCAGGGGGTGGGAGGGGGGTCCAGGGGTTTTGGGGGGTGGGGGGGTGGGGGGGATAAAAAAAAACCTATTTATACTTCTATTTTCTATACATTTTTTACACCTCTTCTCCAACTCTTCCTACTCTCTAATTCTCTATTCCCTCATACTCTCAAATCTTAATCATCTCCATCTTCATCTTCTCCAAACCTCTCTACATATATATATTATTTATATAATTATTATATCTACTTATATATTAATTATCTACTTATATACCTATATTATATTACTAATATTTATTATCTACATAATATATACTTATTATCTTCTTAATATTTACTTTGATATCTACTTATCATCTATACTTATTGTTATTTACTTATATATTAAATTATTAATTATCTATTTTACATACATATATTATATTACTTATATTAACGGCTATACTCAAAGATGGGTGTGTAAACTGACAAAATTAAAGCCCAAACCTATTGATGATTTTCTTTTCAGGGAGCATTTGATTTTATCCAATTTCAGGTACAAATCATCATTATTTCAGGTTATTCGGTGGAAGAGGCCTAATAAAAGCTACAAGCTTAATATAGATGCAGCTTTCTTACCAGGATTTGCTCAAGGCGGAGCCATCCTGAGAAATCAAATTGGCGAGATGATTTATGCTGCGGTCTTCCATCTTCAGGCTGATACGAGTGAGGAAGCGGAATTTAAAGCATTAGTGCAGGCGTCTGACATGGTTATGGCGGAGGGATACACTGATGTCCATGTTGAGACTGATGCTGTTCGAACTTTGGCCATGCTTCAAGACGATTCAGGAAACTCCGCTGGGTTGAGGGAATTCAGAAGGCGGGCACTGGACATGGGCCTATCATTTGATCATGTTTTTAGAGAAGGTAATGGGCCGGCTCATTTTCTAGCGGCCCATAGGATTGAACAGGCCCTTTGTGTTCATTTTGATCGGGTTGGGCTTTTGCCTAGCCGGTTTAAAACAAGTTATTATGCTGATCTTTTCGGAATGCCTAGGTTTAGGTTTTAATTCGTTCTTTTTAATTTTGGGTCAGGCCTAGCCCCCCCAAAATTTCATTTATTTTTTCTTATTTCTCTTTTCGCTATACCTTTGTTGAGAGGTATTGGTCAGGTCCCCCTCTCTTTTTGTATCCGTCTCTATATTAATAAAACACCGGCAAATGTCCCCCGGCATTTGCCCCACCAAATGGGTGGTTTGCCTTTCGGAGTAAAAAAAAAATCTCTACCTATTATCTACTTATATATATTAAAGTATTATATATAAGTGTATTACTCATCTTATAGTAATATACTTATATATTATACTCCCTCCGTCCCTAATAACTTTGCCAAGTTTGATCGGCACGAGGATTAATAAAGTAAAAATTATGTGGTTGAAGTTTATGCAGAGGAGAGAGAATTAACCGGAACCACAAATTCTTTACTTAAAAGGGAAAGTGGCAAAGTTAATGGACATCCAAAAAAGGAAAGTTGGCAAAATTATTAGGGACGGAGGGAGTATACTATAAACATTATATTATATGTTAGTTATAAAATAATCTACTTATATACCTATATTATATTACTAATATTTGTTATCTACTTAATATATACTTAAATTACTTATTATCTACTTATACATCTTCATCTTCTCCAAACCTCTCTACATATATATATTATTTATATAATTATTATATCTACTTATATATTAATTATCTACTTATATACCTATATTATATTACTAATATTTATTATCTACTTAATATATACTTATTATCCACTTATACATCTCCATCTTTTTAATATTTGCTTTGTTATCTATATTTATTGTTATTTACTTATATATATTAAAGTATTATATATAAGTGTATTATTCAATCTTATAGTAATATACTTATACATTATATACTATAAACATTATATTATATATTAGTTATACAATTATATTAGTTACACTTGAATTCATGGTAATTAAATTCATCGTATTAGTTAATTTTTACATTTTTCATTAAAGTATAAAAGTAGTTAATTGTTACATTTTTCATTAAAGTATAAAACTAGTTAATTGTTACATTTTTCATTCAAGTATAAAACTAGTTAATTGTTACATTTTTCATTCAAGTATAAAACTAGTTAATTGTTACATTTTTCATTCAAGTATAAAACTAGTTAATTGTTACATTTTTCATTCAAGTATAAAACTAGTTAATTGTTACATTTTTCATTCAAGTATAAAACTAGTTAATTTTTACATTTTTCATTCAAGTATAAAACTAGTTAATTGTTACATTTTTCATTCAAGTATAAAACTTGTTAATTGTTACATTTTTCATTCAAGTATAAAACTAGTTAATTATTAATTGTTGCATTAAAGTATAAACTAATAAAAGTAGTTAATTTTATTAATCGCATTTTATTATTACTATTGTACTCATATTAAAACATTTGATATCATATAATATTTGTTACATTTTAAAGATGGACCGTGCCAGACATTTCGTAGATGTGGGTAGTCTCCAACGCAACCGAAGGAAGGAGATTGCGACAAGTCATCCTAGTTTACGCAAAGGCAAAGGTAAAGGGCGGGCCGGGTATTCTTCTCAAAGTCAAGAAGATTTTGATGACGGATATCAAAGGCGAGTTGGGGATGCCATGTCCGACGAGCAACTAGGGGTGAGATTTTGGAACCGGGAACCATAGAACCGATTGGAATCGAACCGTTAACAACATCTAGGAACCGAACCGTTCAAAATTAATACCTCATTTGTAAGAACCGAACCGAAGCATTTTATAACGGTTCGGTTCCCGGTTCCTATAAAAAATATGTGTATGGAACCATTAAGGAACCGTTATTAAAAAAATAGAAAAATAATAATATTAGTAGTAACAACAAAAACAATAATAATAATTATAATATAATATCAATAATAACCACCACAATAATAATAAAACAATATAAGATACTTCGTATTTAACAAAAATTCTAATTTAATTAACAAAAATGAAGTAATAAATGTTGTGCATGAGGTTGATATAATACACTAAACTCCTTTCAAAAAATCAAGTTTTGTTCCATCACATAAATTTTATAAATATAAAATAACCCAAGTAACTTGTAGTTGATTGCACATATTCTACTTTACTATTTTCATGATATTTCTAATTATCAGATTTATTATGAATCAATGGAATGTAATGATGTTTTTTTTTATATTTGTACATGCGAACTCAATGTATTATTTTATGTTTGGAAAGACTTGAAGTAGGTGTCCTATTCTTGCTACTATGATGACGAGTAACTATCATCGCTCTCAGACTACAACGATTTTTATATTTCATTTATTACATGAAAATTTAAATCATTTTTTGTTCTATTAAGTGTTCACGATTCATTAGTTAAGTTTGATCTTTGATGTTTGAAGTGATTAGAGCTTCAAATAAAATTTTAATACTCGTGTTTTGAATTTTTGACGTGTTTACGTTGTTTGAAGAAAGTGAATTATGTGTTAATTATTAGATGAGAAAAGATTATTCTAGGAACCGATAAAAGGAAGAACCGAACTGTTTATTACCGGTTCGGTTCCATAACGGTTCTTGATTTTTTATATAGGAACCGAACCGATTTCATTAGTTAAAACTTTTATAACGGTTCCACTCATTTTGAGTAAGAACCAAACCGATCCTAGCCCTACGAGCAACTACAACAACTATTGGCGCAAAATGATGGTCACTTTTTCCAACAACAAAACATCCCGGAGTCCATTGATGAAGAGGAGCTCGAGGATGACGATGCGGAGGAGGACGAGGGGGGCGACGGGACTCACGGCACCCCGGATGATGAGCAAGAGTTGGAGGATGAGCGCGGTCCATCCCAAGTTGGTAAAAAATCTAAATCTCCTATTATAGAAAATAATTTTACAAAGAGGAGAGACCCAAAAACCGATAAATGGTACGCAAGTTGCGATCATTGCAAGAAGGAGTATAGCTTGGGAACTTCCGGCGGATACGGGAGCCTCAAAAGGCATCTTAAGTCCGCGCACTGTGTGGAGTATGCGAAAATAGACAAAGGGAAGGGGAAGCAAACTCAAATATCGAGGTTTGCAAATGACCAACCTTTTGGAAATTTCTCATACACTGATGCACAAAATTTGACTAGTATGGCTAACTTACTTGTTGAAGAAAATTTGCCTTATTTGTTTTTTGAAAGTCTTGCTTTTAAAGATTATGCACA